CTACTTCTAAGTGACTCACTTCTACACTTGATACACTAACACAATTAGATGTGACACATGTACGTATATGAATTTCAATATGACGACGAAATGTTGCAAGTTATTCCGTTCAACAAACCTGGCAATACACGGAACATTTTTTGTGCTCACTTCCAATCTATGGAGTTATGTCTCCTTATTCATACTTCATGATAGTAACACACGCACGCGCGCACGCGCCATACGCACACACACGCGATACACCGCGCGCGCGCGCCCGCCCACGCACACACACACGCACACGCACACACACAAAAGAAATATAAAAGAAATTAGAAATAAAGCGCATATTTTTCTGAAAAATAGAGTATAACTATAAGAGGCGATATTCACTTTTATTTAAAATTGTTTTATGTATAATCTGAAAATGCAATAATTTAATTCGCTTTAGATGAAAGCTTAAGACCATCTAAAATCAAATGATCTTAAATATAAGATCAAACTATGAAAACAAATTACTTAGATCTAGTTGTTTCTTTTAACAAATAGATAAAAGTAAATACATGTTGCATTTATAATTTGCAATTGTCAAATTGTAAACGAATTTACATTCATAAATTATTTTAATTAAATTTCTAAATAAAAAATATTATTTTATCGCACTTACAGTATGTACATACGCTCGAATTTTTTTTTATTACAGATACATGATGACAGTTTTTGAGCTTTAAAGCGATGCTGGAAGGTCACCTAAATTTGCACGATGTCGATAAAACAGATTTTTCAATTTCAGTGGTACCTTTAAATAAACTGCTTACAATATCGTTTTGTCTCATTCAAACACGTATATTGTCCTTATCTAACATATAGAAACGCCATCTTTTGCAAAATCCGGCACTTACTGCTAGACGCAATTTTTACTCTGTTTACCATTCAGTATCTTAGTTAAGCATACGAATTATCATAAATTACAATCGTAACGCTATCTTTTTTTCTACGCTGTCAATCGTAGCTCAAAAGTTATTATTCGTTCATGTAATCCGATGCGCTCGATCAACTCATTTTGTACATATACATATAAACTACACAACTTTTATATTAATGAAATATTTACGATAACTGTATGACCCGAAAAAATGTAATCTTTTTTTTTTTCGTTTTTACTACAAATTTGTAGCGCGTACTTACATTTTATGTCTATTTCAATCCTGTAAAAGGGTCTTTAATTCCGTTCTGTTATTTCGGAGTAATCATTACAACTGCAATGTGTCGATAATTCCTACCTTCCAGATATCGCCTTAATACGTATAGATGACAAATATTGCAAATATTAATATAGTTTTATATTAGAATTTCCCATTTGACTTATTTATCGGTAACTTTTCGAATTATGCTCTTATTGCTCTCAAAAATGCGTCTATTTAAAACAATTTAGAAATAGTCTATTTATACATGGTTTGTTCCAAAAGTAATGAGACTATTTTTGGGTCTTAATCATAATTGTCGGGGAGTGGATCCGCCATTGGACAGAGCCTTTGGTGCGGGATGTTAGGTATACAATTTAATCCTTCTCAATTGCTTCCGAGTCTTTCTAGCAGTGACACTATCAGCAAAGTGCGTTGTAATTTTTGTGTCTTGTCACGGACGAAAATACAGCACAGTGCTGTATTTTGAGCAGTGTTACGCGATCAAATTCTGAAGACAAAGCAACACCCCCATGAACTGTTCTCAACATCTTCAACGTTTTGGAACCAGATTTTCTCAGTTTCACGCAGAATTTGATCGCTGCTCGAGATTGCTGAATTTTCGACTATGACAAGATACAAAAATTACAACTTTACTAAAACGGTATCAACTGCTAGAAAAGTTCGATGGTAACTGGGAACGGTTAGACTGTAGATATATCTGACATATATCCTGCATCAATGGCTCCGTCCAATGGATCTACCCTCTAACAATTCTGATTGGCATCAAAAATAGTCTCATTACTTTTAGGACAGGCCATGTAAGCTTACTTTTACTGTGTCTTTATCAGTCTTATTCTCGTTATACAATTTAACGCCCGTTGGTTATAAATCACTCATTAGAATTAAGGTCGAATTGTTCATTCAATTTTGAATGAGCTTGAGATTACATAAAAAAACACTAAACAGTTTTAATTATTATACATATCTCGTAGTAATACAAATCAGAGCATTATACTTGAACGTATTGCTCGTCATCAGTATCTCCTCCGTTGCTAATTCTTTCCAAGGAATTATGTAGTCTTATTTTTTCATAATCAGTTTCCATTTTTTTCTTACTTTTTACCTTCTCATAACCGTCCGCATTTGCATCTAATAAGAAATTATTCACTTGCTCATATGGCGGCTCCTCACTCTGAGCGACACTCATGTATTTCACACTTTCATAATTCGGATCGGTATGGTTCACAGACTCGTAATTTGGGTCCGTATCACTGTCACCGAGCCGACAAACAGACGCATAGTTTGGCTCGTTCGTATCATGCGGCATGCTTTCGTAATTTGGCTCCGAATCCGTGTCCTGATCCAATTCATCTCGCTGTCGCAATCGTACCTTTTCATAACCGGGATCATCACTGCTAGCGTTACTTACTTGTCTATGCTTAAATGGTGTTGAATATGTATCAGAGTTATTTTTCACAGATATCGAATCGCTTTGATAGTCATTCTCTTGCAAACACTGTAGACGCAACATTTCATAGTTCGGATTGGATGAATTCGCGACGATTCTCGTAACAGAGTTTCTCTGACTATTATTAGAGTTAACGGCTTCATATTCATGATCAAATTCTAAATGCGACGAAATCACGTCTGCATCAACTTTAGGCAATCTTAAAGAAGTGCTATTGTTACCTTCTGCGTGAAAATTACTTATAGTAGAATTGTTAGTGGATACAAGATCGGGTTCTTTTTTTTGTATTTCTACAGATTCGTGGCTGCACCATGATGCTCGGCTGATTTCTATAAGACTTAATTTTCTGCAAGTATTTGTTTCAGAATGTAAAGCGTTGTTAGAACTTGGAGAATCATTCTGTTGCTCCTCTATCTCTTTTTTCTTTTTCATCACCTTCGCATACATATCCTCGAGTGATTTACCCGCTGATAATGAAGATTTTGATCTATCATCATTCTTATTCTTTTTATCAATAGATGCGTACCCTTCCGCGATTGCTTCAGGTGGCGGTGGTAGAGGAGAATTTGCTTGACGTTTTTCCGGTTTAGGAGATCCAAGATTGATAATAGAGCTATTGGCACTTGAGGATGACGCTAAAAAATAAAGAAAAAATAGTTATGTTACAGTTATATTATAAAATTAATACAGTCATCTAAATTTTAAATTAAAGGTTTCCAAACTTATGTGACCCACTTTTTAAAATAACAAATATCCAAAACCTATCTAGGTTTAGTAAAAAAAATACGCGGAAAATAAAATAATTATTTTTATGATTTGAATTATTACGCTTTACACTTTCTATTTTTTAATTTTTTATTCAATAAAATTTTATAAATGTAATTCTTAAATACAGGTAATATATGTATGAAAAAATGTGCCTTATCTCACAGCTCTCATAAAAAGTCGGAGAGAGAGAGAAAGAGAGAGAGAGAGAGAGAGAGAGAGAGAGAGAGAGAGAGAGATCACAGAATTTGTAGAAAAACACAAAGAAAAAAAGAGGAAGAAATTTTTTTTTACTTTTTAGCTTCTTATAACCGTCCGCATTTACATCTAATAAGAAATTATTCACTTGCTCATATGGCGGCTTTAAATAAAAAAAGTAAAATATATTGCTATATTTATACAAGGGGCGTTCAAGTCAAACTGGGACTTTTAATTTTATGAGCAGAAGAGATCATGAGTGAATCTTATTAATCATGTTGATTAGTTACAAGTGTCTTCTAACGTCGTATGGCGTTAATGTCGCGGGCCACGCGAATTACTTTTTAAGCAATATGGTACGCAACCATGTCAGATCAAAAACTGAACTGCGTATTGTAAGGTCTGTTTTTTATAGCTGAACTGGCTACACTAGTTCAGAGTTTCTTCTTTCTTCTTTCAATGTAGAAAGAGAAAGATAAACTGTGAACTAGTGCAGTAGTTCAGCTATAAAAAACAGATCTGTAATGAAATTCCTCGTGAACGAAAGCATTCGCAGAAGACTTCAAGCACAGTACGGAGATCACTCTTAGCCACAGTAAAACATTTGAATGGTGCCAACGTTTTAAAGACGGCCGTAAATCAGTGAGTGACGATCCCTGCCAAGGCAGATCGGTGCCCACTGATTAATATGTGTTTACTTGTTTTAATATGTTATTATCCAGACAAAACCAAGAATTAAGCTACTGCATATTTGTGTCACTTCGGGCTTTTAAGGGTGAAACACCCCTTAGAAAAAAGTCGATTTTTTTTTATTTCAATATGAATATCGTCGAAACTAGGAGATAGAAAAAAATATTTAACTAAAGTTGAATGGCTTTAAGAGTACTTTATAATTATAATTAAAAATAATCTTTTTATTGCTTAATTTTTTGTTTACCTCTACCACCAAACGTTTTTAATTTTTCAAATTTTTTTAACTAAATTAAAGGTTATTTTAAGATGAATTCAACCATATGTGATAAAGTTATTTTTCAAAGTATCATTTTCGAGAAATAATTATAAACGCCTCTATACGCACACCATCCGTGCTCGTTTACGCTACGCGCACGCAGCAATTCTTCACGCAGCACGTTCTGCTCGTATTTTTGCATTTAACAGGGGATAACAATGAAAGCAAATCTATTTCCGCAATATTCTGCGGATGTATAACTATAAATCGTTTTTATCGCGCACGGCTGAACAATGCTTACAAAGCATTTAAATGTCATAAGTATCAAGTTAAATCGGTATAAACAAATCTATTGTGGAAACAGTTTGTTTACGTATAATCACAGAAATATTTTCGTCCGAGTAGTTACCCTATTAAGAAGAATCAATAGAAAATGATAAGGACTGATAGTATTTGCCTAATATTTTATCATGTCCTATTATCTATCGTTCCACTTTCTCTATGGCAAAAGAAATGATATCGTTTCCTATCGTTTTCTATCATTATTTGATAAGAACAATTTTAATCATTGAAATATCGATAGAATTTCTACAGTAATTTATTGTTTTATATTATTTTGATAAAATTTATCATAATTAAAACGTTATCCTAATGAATTGTTCATACATGATAAAATTTTTTGATTCATAACTATGATTAAAAACAATTATATTATTTTTATCGTTTTCTATCGATTTTTAACAGGGTAGAACGCAATAAGCAGCAGTATAAAATGATGTCGCTATGCGAATATTAGAATCAGTGCACCGTGATATCGTGTATTAATAACATCGTGTACTAGCAACATCAGTATCACTGTAACAACATATCCCGTCACAACCAGTCACGACCATATTTACACATTTTAATTGTTGCTTAAGCAATAAATATATTTGAAGACGTTAATGTAAGTTATTATTTATAAAGTAAAGATTCTAAGAAAATTGTTGGAACTATAATATAATAAGCAGATTTATAAATATAACATTTAATATATTATTGATTTATTTTACTTTTGGCTATCAAAAACTGAAATTATTTTTTATTTCTGAAAATATGCTATTCAGTTCAAAATATTTTACTGCAGCATGATTGCAATGTTTTTGCGGAAATACTATATTTTTTGTATAACTAGAACAAAACAAAGCGCACGCTTTGCGCGCGCCATTTATTCACTATCCCTAAAACATAAAACACACACACACACACGCATACCACGCGCGCGCGCGCGCGCGCGCAGGCAGGCACGCACAAATACAAATATCATATTAAATATCTCATTACTTTTATATATCTCTTACATATATCTCATGTCCTATTTAAAAAAAGGCATGTTAGCTATAACTTAGCGATAACTTCCATTTCTCTTACTTTTTTCTTTCAGGTATCAGTCTTTGTTTAACAAAATATTACAATATTTCTAACAATATCTTTTGTAATCAACAGATACGTCAAAACATGTTTTTTACAATGATTAAGAGAAACAGGAATTAAAGGAATAAAATAGCGATAGAAAA